ATATATGTATATAGTTATATAATAAATATATATATACTCATATATATAAATAACATTCAGCGGCAAGAGACACAAGTGTTGGCATAAAAATCACTTTTCGAAGTCAGTTTACTTCGCTGCTGATTGTTTGTATATGTGAAACAGTGTGGAAAATTGATTTGTTACCGAAGCGTGGCAGCCAAGAGGCCTCGGCCGCACAGTTGTGTGTTGCTGCATGTTCATTTTCATTTTGATTTTCAACACAATTGCCACCCAAGAGCAATCATAATGAATAGCTGGCTGTTAAGCGATTGTTGAAAAGTACTTTTGTGCATGATTTGCTAGTTTCCTGTTGTTTTTTGCATTTTTTATTTATTTCAAATACTAACACACATATACGGTTTTATTAGCTTTCATCACAAGCGACTCTAAAGTTTTTACAGTCACTCATATTCAATGCAACTTTAACGAGCGCGAATTTCGGTCGCTCTTAGCTTTCGCCACAAACGGCGTTGTTTGCTTTAAGTGGCAATTTGCTGGTTCAAATCAGTCATAGCACTGCTTTCGCTAATAAAAATATCACTCATACGCCATGTCAGCCAATACTGAGTGTTGAGAAGTGCTAACAACAAGTACTGCTCTTACATTTTTCATTTATATACTGTATATTTATTTATTTGTTTGAGTGGAAAGCTCTTATGATTTGTGTTTAATAAGTTTATTTATAGAAAAGAATGCAAAATATTTCACTGTAGATATTTGTTATATTTTTCACATATTTCAAATCAATTGCGATGTTTTGTTTTAGAGCCAAAAATCAGAAATAAGGCTTTATCACAGCTACAACTGATATAAATGGCTGATGATATGATAGATTCGTTAACAAAATGTACATAAATTCGAGTAAAAAATATTTCGAGTAAAAAATGTTTTAAACAGAAAGCAAAGCAGCAAAATTTGACTGCAAACAATTTACGCCTTCATAGTAATCCCCAACATATGTAACAATGATATTTCTAATCCTCGAAACAGCTTTCATAAGCACTTTCTGGGATGGCCTTCAGCTCCTTCAGCAAACTTTGATTTATCTCTCGACTGAAAATGGGTTCCACGGAGCGTATATTTCCGCTTGGGGATAAAAGTCCCACGGATCCAAATCTGGTGGATATGGTGGTTGATCGATGGTATTCATTGCGTTTTTGATTAAAATTCGGTCATAATCGTCGCTCGATGCGAAGGTGCATAATGCTTCCACAATTCCGGCCGTTCCTGACGTTTAGTTTCACACAAACGCTTCAATGCAACCAAATAGAAATCCGTTTTGATCATATACCCCTCAGGAACAAATTAATGTTGCACCACACACCTTCCTAGGACTATTATACTCTTTAAAATTGCTACTTACCTTTGAAAATTTCTGCTACATTTTTTCCATGATAAGGTTTATGATTAGTTTGAGCAATTTAAATACCAACAATGAATCTGTGTGCAAATCATGTCATCATGATGTTTGTTTGTTCTCCGAACACACAATGAAAGAGAATATTCTTGGGTTCTAATGCTGGCGAGAGTCTATATCTGCCTATGTTAATTTTTGGTATATATTCTTTCCCATAAGATATTGTCAAATTACAACCAAAGAACGCCAGCAAACTTCTCCTTATATTTTACGTATTAATTTTAAGCGCCAAAGTTAATAAGAGCCGGCAGCATCTAAAAAGTTGTCACTAAAGCTGCACTTCCTTTATATTATACGTTGAGAAAGTGAATTCTGTCAGATTTTGAGAAAATACTTAGAATGCCAAACTTCAATTTCAACTAAATTAAATTAATATTTTTGGATTAGATTGAATTAAATTAGTAATGAAAACTCTACTGCATGGAGTATGTGAATCGCATCAATGTCGCAAAACTGACAGTCATCGGTTGGGCGAAACAAAGGTAAAACATCCACAAACTGCCTTAGTTGGTCTCTGAGGAGGATAATTAGGCTAGGCAGGTGGATTGCTACACGTCTATCTTTGTAAAGCCATATAAAAGAAGAACTTCTGTGTTCGAACTTATTAATCAGAAAATGGTTGTTTTGCACAAGCTTTAATTTGCATTCCCGCCAGTTCGGTGCGATGTCTAAAAGTACCAGGAGGATAACTAACCCTTTAACATTTTATGGTTATATCCTATAAGAAACAACTATGCATGGCGAAACTCAGACATTAGCAGCCAGCAGATCAGAGGGAGCTGGTCTATTTTGATGGAATAACAGCCAACTGTGAAGAAAAAATATATTTTTCTCGGTTTGGTTTTCAAAATTTGGACATTTACCATGCTGCTGTCTTTGACTGCAGGATGCTACTTCTTAGATAAAAGTGAAATCCTTTCAGTTATTTTGATATTCTAGAGATATCTAGAAATTTATTCTATTGATTTTGCCATCTTTAGAAACAACTGTCGGTTTATCCGCGCTAAGAGGTACATCGACGTTTTTAAGCAAAGTTATTTTAACTTAGAGTTGTAAGTGGTCAGCGAAAAAAACAGTGCTTGGGGTATCTAAAAAAATGGGAGCTAAGGTAGAAAAGCTTGACCTTTGCTAGAAATGTTTGAAAGGAATGAACACAGAAACCAAATAATAATTTAAAAGTAATGCTATTGATACACGCAGATGATATTCACCTCCTGCGCCTTAACAACAGAGCAATCAACGCAGTCTTTTCCAGCCTAGAAGCAAAAAGAAGTAGCTGCAAACCGCATACATAGATGCCTTGCATCATGGCGACTAAGTCACTGTTGGCAGCTGTACATTTGAAAAGTAAAGAATTTTGTGTATTTTCGAACCAGCAGAAATTTGTCAATAATCTAAGTATGAAGATCAAGTGCAGAATAACTCTTACCAAAGGATGGCAGCAGATCCCTACAACGACATACAAAAATTTACTATTATGCTCATTATTCTTTTTCTATTATATGCATATCGAAGAATATGGAATCATAAACTGTAAAAGCTTCTGGCATGTAAGAAAGGCGATGCACCAGCGAAAAGTCCACGCAACCAAAGACTTATAGACTTGCAGATATACATAAAAAGTCGGTAGCCATCGATAGAAGATGAGGAATAAGTTGCTTTTAAATTTTGTTGAAAGAAATATCTGTGAATAACATCTCAATCACAGTGAAACATATTTTTTGGTGAAAATCGTTTTTTTTTTTTCAACAAACCTCCCTTTAAAGGCGATACACTGATTATAGCGATCTTTCAACTTTTAGTTGTCATGTTTCTGGTACGAGTTGTCCCTCGCTTCAAAAAATATGCCTCAGTTTTGTCGATCGCATCTTCATTCATTCCCAGCGAGCATTCTTTTCAGATCTGGGAACAGGAATAGTGGCTAGAGGTGAGACCTCTGAGACTTGGAGAATACGGTGAACGCGGAAGCGGTTCCACGCTTGATTCATGGATTTTGCCATCGTTTTCACTGACTTGTGACACGCTGCAATTCATTGGCAAAGCAACACATTCTCTAACTTCGAATGCGGCCCTTCTCATAACCAGATACTCGTGAAAGAAGTGATATATACATACAGTTGATATCTTTAGAGTGCTTGCTATCTCAAGCATTTTCACTTTACGGTCTTCCAAAATTATTTTGTGGAGTTTGTTGATATTTTCTTCGGTAACAACTTTTTTGGCCGGCCACTGCGTTCACCGTCTTCGGTGAGCAATCCACAACTTTTAAATAGAGCATACCAATTCCTGATGGTTGATTTTTCTGGAACAGTATTCAGAAACTCGTCATCAAGCCAAACTTTTGCTTCCACTGTATTATTTCACATAAAAAAGCAATATTTTATCACCACGAGAATTTTCTTTTTAACAATAACAAAAAATGCTTCACACATCTTTTGGAGGTTAGTGCTAATTAAAAATCGTATGGATTTAATTCTAGCAGCGCCATCTGTGTCTCAGTTCCTGTGTATTGACCTGTTCTTTTCAATTAAATAATTTTTTTTTTTTTGGATTGCTTCAAATGCATAATTGAATATTATTCGGGCCAGTTTCTATGCACCACCTTGACGAAGATCTTCTTAAAATTAATAACCAATTTTTGGATTCTACCATGAAGCTACTTAACGTAATCGAATTATAATAATTATACGAAATTTTTTTACTACAAAAATTTTATTATAAGTATTAATTGTTTTATTACCTAAAAGTCACATGTTTTGCATTATTTGATGTTATTTCTTCTGGTGGTTCTTCTTAATATATATACTATATCTATATATGGTATACTTTCTTTAAGGATACATGTATATATGCTACTCCAGTGGCGCCAAAACTAGTTTTATATAGATTTTGCATACTTTTATGCGCATATTTTTCGTGAGCTGCTTAAACTTACTATCGCCTTCCTACAGTGTCGCTCAAATATTCTAGGTTTCAGTACCACTTAAAAAAGTTACAAACAAACATACATACATACATGCAAGTGAAGCTAATAAAAGCGTATTAAAAACGAAAAAGCGCAAAAAATGCGCTGAAGAAATTTTTAGCAAACTCTTAACAAGATAGACTTGTGCATTGAAATTGAAGATTTTAAATTTTGCCATTTCATTGTCGCTTCACCAACGGCACTTGAAAAGTTTAGCGCCTTTCAATTTTTGTTTTAATTTTTCACCGAAAACACAATGCGCAAAATTATACAGCTGTGTCCTCCATTCCGCATTTGCGAATGTCATTTCGGGCAACCACACAAATACACCAACACACCAGCACACAAACTCATATACACAAGCGTAAAGAAGTGATTCAGCCAGCAAGCACCAGGCGACGGTGGACGCATTTTTCGGTAGAAAAACTTGATTTTTAGCTTAGCAAATTCAATGAAGTAGATGACAGCGCTGAAAACCAGCGAAAGCGACAGCAAGACATACAACAATAATAGCCTGTATTTAAAGTCTGAAATAATCAAGCGCATAAGAAGCGCAGATGTCAACCATAATGACTTTGTTCTTGTTGTTTTTTACAGATTTTCATTTTTTTGCTGGCATCAACGTTTGGTGGTACGAGCCGGGCGCATGTGGCGACAAGCCGCGTAATTGAAGATGTGACGAAAATGAGGTAAGCAGTGAAATTATAAGCTTTGCGCACCGGTGTCAGGGGGTGGAGGTTACACATGTGTGCCTCGGCAAGTATTTGTGTATGTGTGCGTGAATGAGTGCTTGTGTTTATATCAACGGTTAAGCAGCGGTATCTCACAAATAATTAATCAATGATATGTGATGCGGCTGACTGGCTACACATGTGCCGTTATCTTTCCTTATAAAACATGACAATGTATGTACATGTGTGTGTGTGTGTGTGTGTGGGTGAAAGAACTTTAAAAGCTCCCTCAGCGCCGTGTGATTTTCGCTTCAGTTGAAGCAAAATGCAATAAAAATTCTCATTCGTTTTCCATATATTGTTTTTTTCTTTTTGTTTTGTATATTCTTCACCCCAGTCACTGTGTGCAACCTTGGCGGTGTTGTCGCTGTTGGTGGCAGCCTCAGTTGGTTGTAAATTAATGTTGCTAATGAAAAAACTTTTAAACACATTACAAGCAAGTGGCAACACACACACACATGTACAGCTGATGTAAAGATACCGCTAAGTAGCATATACACAACAGGTACACACATATTTACATACACATGTGCACTCGACAATCAGCGCAAGTGCTGGGCGGCAGGGCGTATACGCAACATTTGTGAGAAAATATTGTTTGCGAATTTTAATGTTGTTTGTTTCAAGAACTTTATCGAAATTTACACGGAGATATCTTAAAGCTGCATGGGAAAATGAAATAAAATGAGAGTGCAAAGAATCAGCATCAAGTACAGCTTGACAGTTCAGGGGCAGTGTCCTCTGTCAGCATGTCGTATGTCAAATGCTGTAACTTTTCACCTGATGCGAATTCTAATAGCGCATTTTGAGTGCAAATAAGAAGTAATGTCATGCAATCTTTGAACACTCGCAATCTCATATGGGAAAAATTAGCATAAATCTTAGTCTGCATATAGGGCAGATACTACTATGTGAAAAAATAGCAAGATTTTGTTCATAATTTTAAAGTTCTTTATTAATTTTTCAAAACCTTGGCCGCTAAGGCACTTCTGCCAACATTTTTTCTAATCCCTGAAACAGTTGTTGAAGTAAATTTCCCGAATAGTCTTCAACACGCGTACCGATTCACGTTTAATGTCTTAATGGTTACTCCGTTCGTTTGGGGTCTGTTGAATAGCTAAAAGTCACTTAGAGGTAACTCAGATGAAAACGGTGCTTGCGGTACGGTATTGGTTGAAAAGTTGGCTAAATCCTAAGGAAGAATTAAAAACCATGAGTTGGCGGCCTATAATCCACGCTCTTTTTACGAATAGATTCACGCCAACGACACATAACACCCAAATAATATTCCTGGTTGGCAGTTTTTAAGATTTGAACGAATTCGAAGGGCACTACGTCTCGACAATTGAAGAAAACTCTCAACATAATCTTGATTTTTGACCTTTGCCACGTTATTTAGGTGAATGATCGTCTGTTTCCGGGTCGTAAACATTGATACAAGCCTCTTCGATAGTAGTAATACGTTTTATGATATTTTGACAGTTGGAAAGCATTGTTTCACAGACTTTAACGTTTCGCAGTTTTGCGAAGAAATTTGACTGATTTTGTACCCAGTTAAGCTATTACTGTTCTTAGTCCCAAATGATCTTTCAAAATGGTTTTCATTGATCTATCGGATATTCCAACGACGCCAGTAAAATATCTGACACAGTCGGTTCCTAAACAACGATTTCTTTATTTTATTGATTTGTTGATCATTGGTTCATATTTAGCGTCGTCCTAGACGTGGTTCGTCGTCTACTAATTCTCGCCCATCTTTTAATAATTTCTTCCAATCAAAAACATTTTCACGCGACCAACAAATATCGCATGTGGTCTTTTCCATAATTCTGAATGTTTCGGCACCAGATATCACTCATCATAAAAATAGTCAAATATATTTTGTGTACTCCAGAAAGTCAATTGAATACTACACAGTAATACCAACCTAGAAATCACTTGCAGCAGTGTCACTCAAAGACGAGAAAATTGAAACTAAATCCCGCCTAAATCATCATCTGACTACCACTTGATTCGATTTTTGCAGAACTTTTGGCTTTGAAAGGATCACAAAGAATTAAGAAATTACCTTAATCTGAAAATTTTTTTAAATCAAATATACTTTTAATTAAGATGTTTTCAGTTTCTTTTAACTTTTGTGTATCCAACGGAATTGTAAATACGGAGTCATTGAAGAGTTGCCAAAAATTTTTCTGGAGCCTACTTTATCATCAGCACAAGTATACCTAAGTATTGTGAACTCACTGAAGTCTTGCGTTCACCTCTACTAATGATGATCACATAGTTTTCTGTTAAAAAAGCAGTTGTTCAAAATCATCTTGTTGTCACCAGAGAGATAGTAAAGGGTCTCTGTCCCTTATGGATCGACTCAACACATGTTTTGTTTTGGTTAATGTCAATGTTTTGGGTATGAAGCGTGTCAATGCTTGACTGAAAGTGTAGTAGAGGTTGCTAAAGAGATGCTTGACAATACAGCAATATAAAACACTTCAAAGTCGGTCAAAAATCAATCTGATGTTCGTCGTTTTATTTAGTAAAGGTGGCGCGGTTCACTGGGGTTTTATTCCGCAGGTTTAAAATTCCAATGAGGAGTTCTATCGCTTTGAGACATTTACATGAAACGATTTTTCTTACATTGGATTTGTTGCCAGAAAATTTATGGATTTTCAAGACTAAAATATGCTAACAAATTTTAGCTAAGTCAACAATCTTGATTACATAAAAACAAGTGAAAAAAGTTTGTTTAAATTTGGAGTCAGTGAACCTTTTTTCAATTGTAGTTAGTGACACTTTTATTTATATTATTTATATAGGATCAATGATCACTTTGTTTTGATTTATCCAAGCCAGGAACAATCTTTTATATTTAGCCAAGTCAACAACCTTATTTTACATTTTGTGGGTCATTTTATGAGATCAATGAGTATTTTGTTTACATTCAGCCTAGTACATATCCTTTGTTTACATTTAGCAAAGTCAAGAAACTTTTTTTAACATTTGGAGTCAGTTTGTCAGTTGTTTACATTTTTTGCTGTCGAATGTAGTATAGTCTTTAGGTCCGAGCTGTAAACCACAGAAGGTAGGTGCTAAAGTCTTCATCTTCCTTATAAATATAGGGTTGTATTCTCCATCTTCGCCTCTGTCTGCTTTGAATCTGGTCTAACATCAGTAAAAAAAAAAAAAAAAAAAAAAAAAAAAAAAAAAAAAAAAAAAAAAAAAAAAAAAAAAAGCTTATGGAAATACAGCAATGACATTCACCCAAAACAATTGGTGAGAAATTTAGAAATTTTACTTAATTTTAGTTTTTATATTTATGGAATATCTTCGACCACCTGTATGCCCACATGAAACTACTTTATTTGACGTTCTCAAAGCCTTCCGAAATTTCAGCTTTACTTATATATATCTACCGACACAAAATTTCACTTTCTACCTCCGTTTTCTTTTTTATTCTTCTTTTATGTATTATTATTATTATTTCTTTGGCGTRCAGTCTTATCGTCTAGGTGTCAAGTACGTGTCAAATTTATTATATTTCACGTGGAATGATTGCTGCTGAAGAAAAAAATCAAGGTAAATTGATGTGCGAAATATTCCACTGACATATTCTCGTCGTCAACGTGGACATGTGACGAGCATATTGAATGATGGTAGGCTTACTTGAATATAAGCACGTAGCACAAATTCCATTTAATGTATGCTTGTATGTGCCATATACATATACCTGCTTCCACACAGAGATTTCCAAAGAACGTTTTGTGTAATTACCTCTGGTGCTTTCCTCAACATCCCTTGTACGTGATCGTGAAATTAAAACGCCAAAAATGTACAGGTGACGTTTGACTATCTGCAGAACGCGAGTCTTCACATTTGCTCTCGACTGTGACACTTAATAATGTATAAAATGTTATAGCGGGTAATATAATTGTACTTATGGGCTTGAGACACTCTAAATTTTAAGGAAAATTTCTGCTTTAAATATTGAAGAAGTATTAATAAATAAAGCGATGTAAAATTTGCTATGGGAAAGCAATAATATAAATTAAAATATATTAATAATTGAAAAATATATGATTAAGTGCTTTCAAAGCAATGACAATTCGACAATAAATATAAACTCTTTAGAGCAATAATAAAAAGTTTAAATGCAACATTCCCGGTTTTTTGTCTCCAGTTGAAACTTTTTTTTTAAAGTAAAATGGGTGTTTTTTTTAAAGAAAGTTAATATTTTTATTACATACGGAGGTTCAATACCAAAGCTGAATATATAAAAGTATGATACATATGAATGAGATACATATTTCGAAATATTATATTAGTAATTATTTTATATGGAAAAAATGTTCTTTCCTTTATTGCTCTAATTTAGCAAAAATATTTTTTCTGTACCCTACAGCGACCAATTGGGCAACACCGGCAACACTCTACTCCACCCTCCTAAGTACCTGGTAGAAGAGCAGCAATTTGTACCCTGAAATACTGCACGTTGATGTGACGGACATTCTTTATTATTAACTAGAAATATTACATTATCGATAGTTGACAATTAATTATGTACTGTAATAAAAAATTAATTTATTACTAATAATTATTGCGAAATATTGAGTGAAAAAATAAAACCGTAAAAATATAATTATTTGTTTACTATAGAATTGTCGTTTTATTATTTGCAACGATGCAGACTTTCATTACCTTTCATTCAACACCAAAATCATTAAAATCGGACCATAATTGCCGGAGTTATGCTGCAAAAACACTTACCAGTGCCACTTTGCACATGCACACACACACACACATGCAACGCGGTCGGTGCGTTTTTGCATTTTGTCAAATACTCGATTTGCACCAGGCACCCAGAAATGCTCTGAGCACAGCAAGTGGCTGCCGCAAAAAAATTAAGATTTTGTTGCATACCCCCAAGGCGCAAGTATGCAACTTCCTTTGGCTACCGGAAGCTCGAACACATTGCACTTATTTGCGCATAACTAAGGCAAAACACAATCGTTAACATTGAATTTGGTCTTAAATGAAAGAGAAAGTCTCGGTGCTGCCACCAGTGATGCTTTGAATTTTCCATTGCATTTGCAAACACTGTTATTAAACCATACGCGTTTGTATAATTTTTGGTGGTAAAGATTAAAGCTGAAACATTTATTTTATTTATGCTGTCAGCAGTGCGTCCTCCTCTTTCATTTCATACCTCAAACGTCGTTACCGACTTATATTTGGCGAAATTATGCTCGTTTAAAATTGTCTAGTTAACACTTCCGGTGTGGTGCCAAATTTCTTGCGCCTTGGGGGTATGCAACAAAATTTTATTTTTTTTGCGGCAGCCACCTGCTGTGCTCAGAGCATTTCTGGGTGCCTGGTGCAAATCGGCGATTTGAGCAAAATGAAAATTTGCGTGCGCCGTGCGTGTGTGTGTGTGTGCGTGCACGTGCACAGATTGGGTTGGTTGTTACAAATTAGCATAACTCTGTTAATTCTTAACCGATTTTGATGATATTGGTATCAAATTAAAGGTATGAACTTGGCGCTTCATTTAAAAATAGAGTGGAGTGTAATTTTTAACTTTATTTAAATTTTTTTTTCGACTTAAAATAAAAAATGTTGTCAAAGCTATTTGAATTAGGTTTTTAATGCTACATTTATTTGTTTTATTGTGCAGCAAATAAAAAACACTGATGTACATCTACAACCATCAAACAACGAGGCACACAGTTATAAGCGCAAAATGGTTTTTTAACGAAGTTTCGTGGGAATAAGTGGAAGAATGCATTTTATACCTATGACCTATATACTTTCGTATTGGTTATAAAGAAAGTGTGGTTTGCTTTAGAAAATGATGAGAAATATTGCCAGTTTGCGTAGTTCTACGAAAAGTTATAAACACTTAGTATTTGCATTCTGCTAAATGTCACTTTTTACGTTTCCTCAAATGAAATACTGACGACTTCTATTACATAAATTCTTAAGGAAGAGACTCCGGTCTCTTTCTACACAATCTTACTTATATTTTAAGGAAAGACTTACAACTTTTCTTCATGTTTTTTTTTTATTGATTCTTCAACTTTGTTTTTACCATATATTGTTTTAATGAAATACTTACGACTTTTCATCATGATTTTTCAATAAATTGTCAGCTTCCTTAAAGAATATTTTCCCACAATTTTTTCTTAAAGAAATACTTACGACCTATTTTCTTAATTTGAACATATATTTTTATGATTCTTCAGACTTCTTACAAAATTTTCGTCCTGATTTTTCATTGAATTATCAGCTTCCTACATAAAAATTTTCAAAATATTTGTTTTTTTATTATGAAATACTAGAACCTTGCTTATTTAAATTATATTGCATTTTTTCTTGGAATATTTACGATTTGTATTAATGAATTATTTGTCGATTTTTTGGATTTTCAGCTTTTTTTTTTTAATATTTTAAAATTTTTCTTTAAAGCTTTTTTAAATGCATACTCACCTTTGCTTCTCCACTGTATCCAAAGTAAATAAAATAGCCGGGTTTGTTTTACATTTGAAATTTTTTTATTTTTTTCTTTATTAATTAATATAATTGTAAATTTATTAGCAGCTATTTACTGTTATTGGGTCACTTCGGGCTGAATTTTGTTAGCCAAAAACTGAGAATTTTCAAATCATTAAATTTCTAATGCCTCTGCGTAATTTTTGAGTTTTTTATTTGTTATTAAATTTGCTAGTCTTTTTTGTATTATAATTTTTTCTTTTTTACTTTAATTTCATTTACACTATATTTCAAATTAATATTTTATGTTATTTTTTACAATTGAAAACTGAATTTTAGT